TTTTAAGGAAAACCTTGAGCGGGGTACGATGAAAAATCGAAGCAGACAGGTAGATCATGATGGACGTGTCCAATTCGCCTCCACTTTCTATGTCGTGCGTCCGCTATAAGAAAGTATAAGAACATGTTACGTTGAATTATGCTAATTTTTGAGGACTTTCCCAATACGATCACTGATGAAAGCTTGTATCCTCAATATCTTTGAGCTGGCCGTCGAGGCTTACAAGCTCTTGCAATCAGTAATGAAATGATACTTCATTCCCAATCCGAATCATCAGAAATCAGACTTGCTCTTACTTCGACAGATTGATATTCATTCCTCAAAGATAACCTTTCTCGACTACGAGCTGGTTTGAAGCGAATTGTATTGTTTGAATGATACCTAGCATTTGGTACTGAAAAAAAGCTTTGGCAAATTAAATTTTGGGCGGGAGAGATTGAGTTACACGAGTGACACGAGTGGTCGTATTTGCGTGAGCCAGTTGTCATAGACAATGAGTCTGAAGTCGGAGAGGGTAATTGTTGGTTATAAAATTCCAGGTCGGGTTTTGAGTATGATAACTGGCCTGAGACTTGCGAATCTCTGCAAACATGACTTTGAACCACAAATCCATAAGGGTGACAGCTTTCGAGGGTGGCTTATCAGTTTGAGGTATGCAAGTTTGAGGTATGCAAGTTTGAGGTATGCAAGTTTGAGGTATGCAAGTTTGAGGTATGCAAGTTTGAGGTATGCAAGTTTGAGGTATGCAAGTTTGAGGTATGCAAGTTTGAGGTATGCAAGTTCGAGGTATTGTAAAGTGACCTTGTAGCTCATCGACTGTGGTTTCGATAATCCGTGGGACATTTGTAACTTCCTCATTCGTGGTACATGGTCAGCTTGATAGGTAGGCATCGTTGTTTATCTCGAGAGGTCTTGTTTCCATCAGTTGGTGGCTGAAATCCTACCGGGTAAACTTTTGGTAATGTGCGGATGAAGTGAGGTTTAGGATCTTTAGATGTTCTGATATCCGTCCTCAACGCGATAACCATAATGTGGCAACGGTACCGGTACCCACCCGCCCGCACTCACACGTTCACAACGCGTTCTTGTCATCCAATACAGTCAGATTCGGGCATGTCCGACGTATCAACCTGATAAGCCATCCTAGAGACTGATCACTGCCAGCCAAGATCACCCACCCATACAGGAAGTTGATCGTGTGTTTTTGTCACTTGTGCCGTGTTATACCCCATACAACCGACACACCACCGACACTCCGATGATTGACCATCTTGGTCTAACTGGGTTAAGTGTGTCGTCCGATAAGTTTTTGACCGTTGATAACAAGCGTGAAGCGTCCATTCGAAGTGCGTCCAATGACTCCAATCGAGCCAATGCAATCATAACCAAGGAGCCAAGGTACCTAGGCAAGCAAATCAGATCAAGTCCGTGTCCACCACCACCCAACACGATCCAGACCAGACCAGACCAGTAAAATTTGCCGGGTAGTTGATAACTTTCACCCACAAGCATTGAAGCTACATATCAGGCTATCTACCGTAGTATCAAGGCTATCAAGGCTATTATCTATCAGAACTCCAGAAGAACAGGGTAAGTGGGACGGGGAAAAAATGTCAGTGAATTGATTGGTAGTCGTCCTGCTGTAGTGTCTATCTAAGTGGAGTTTCTCTTTTCTTTCCTCAATCAAAAACTGTCAACCTCTTCTCTCCTCTTCCTCCCCTTTTCCTTCCCTCCTCTCTCTCTCTCTCTCTCTCCCAAAAGAGAGCGCAGTCACTCGGAGTATGATACCTATCTTCTCTTGACATTTGTTTCTTGTGAAGATTATCGACTCTTGGTTTACGTGGTTGTCATTGTCACTTGTTGATACGGGTACCCGTCCTTCCTCGCAAGAAAAAGTCCTTGTGTGTGTGTGTCAATTGAAAATTTATCCGAGATGTCCCCCGCCATGAACGTCGCGACCCTCAAAGCTCAATCGGCGGAAAAGGTTGGAGCTTTCAAGAATGCTTTCACGAGTCGACAGAATTTCATGGACTATGTGACAGTTCAAGATACTGCGCTCGATCGCCATTCGGGCTCCAATAAGGTCTGGTCCAATGAAGATCTGTAAGTTCCAACATCAACTGTTGCTCAATTGGACGTTTGTCGATGGATTGGCGCACGGCGAACAATTCAGCTACTAAATTCGCTCCTGTAGTGATCCAACACCTCCTGAGAAACGGACATGGCGTTGGTGGAACTTCGTTTCCTTCTACCTAGGACTCTCCTTTGGCAATTGGACTTTGGGCTCCACCATGGTAGGAATTGGCCTTAATTGGTGGCAAGCTATCATCGTTATATTTGTCTCTCAATTGATCAGTTCAGTCGCCATGTACTTCAACAGTCGATGCGCCTCGGTTTATCATATTGGATACCCTGTCGTAGCCAGGAGTGTTTTCGGCATGTATGGCTCATACTACTTCGTTGGAGCTCGCGCTGCCTTGGCTATTATCTGGTATGGTGTACAACGTAAGTGGTCCAGTTCATGACTCTCTGGCGCATGGAAATATTCTGCGTCTTCTTGCAAAGACTGAGCGAGCAAAATTCTATTCCATCCTGCAATCGGTTCTTCCTCCTGCGACGTTTTGCTAATGCGCCGATAACAACAGTGTTTTCTGGTGCGAGTTTCATGAGCAATATCTTGCGATGCATTTTCGGACACAACTTCACTGATATCCCAAATCACATTCCTGAATCGATTGGTATCACATCCGCCAACATGCTCGCATTCTTTCTGTTCTGGCTAGTTCACTTTCCATTCTGCGCCTTCCGACCATATCAACTGCGAGCCTTCTTTTGGTTCAAATCGATTGTTGTTTTGCCAGCCGTGTTTGGACTTTTCATTTTCTGTATGGCCAATACAAAGGGAAAAGTCGGATCAGTATACCAGAGCACGCTTGGGGAAGGGGCTGCCTATGGATGGTTCATTATGTATGGCATCAACAGTGGCATGGGTAATACTGCAACTTGTAAGTTTCGATTCACTATGTTCCCTGGATTGACATTTCGCCGTGCGACTCATTTGCCCAGTTCTTCCAAAAGCGGTCTAGGGTCTATGTACACAATGTGCAACGAAAATCTGCTAACTCGTCACGTATGTAGTGATCACAAATCAGCCAGATATTGCGAGATGGAGTGCGACGAGATCGGGCGCACAATGGTCGCAACTTCTTACTCAACCTATATCCGTGACGCTATCTGCCACATTTGGAATCTTGGCCACGGCTGCGATTAACAACAATTGGGGTTTGGATCTATGGAATCCTTGGGATTTGTTAAGCGCCATTTTGGATAGATATTGGTCGGGCAGCACACGTTTTGCTGTCTTTCTCTTGGCATTTTGCTGGATGGTATCCATTCTTGGTACAAACATTGCGGCAAACATGATTCCATTCGGTGCGGATAGCACCATGTTGTTTCCTCGATTTCTCACAATTCCCCGCGGGCAATATGTTGTGGAATTCTTGGCTTTTGCCATCTGTCCATGGAAGATTCTCGCTTCTGCGTCGGTTTTTACCACGTTCCTTTCGGGTTATGGTATATTTATGGCAAGTGTGGTTGCAATAATGGTCTGCGATTGTAAGTTCTTCTGCCCGCAACACATCCTATACGGATAACTCCTGTGCTAGCAAACTTGAAGATGGTCGGAAGCAGTTCATTTCGTAAAACTATTGCTAACTTTTTTCTAAGATTATGCACTTACTAAGGGCAATGTTTTCATTGGGCATCTCTACAATGGCACAAAAGCGAACAAGCATTACTACTATTTCCATGGCTGGAATGTACAAGCGATTATTGCATACATTTGTGGTGTTGCACTCCCTTTTCCAGGATTTGTTGGAACTCTAGGCGCATCCGTATCCCAGAGTGCTACGAATCTTGGACGTCTCGGATGGTTGTTATCGTTTTCTGTCAGTTTCGTTGTGTACTTTGCTCTTTGCAAGGTATGGCCGACTCAGAACCAGAAATTAATCAAGGAAATGGGCCTTGGGTGGGAATCTCAATACGGTGATGTTGTAATTGCTGAGGATGGGACACAAATCGCAATCAGTGCAGACGCGGTTACAGCGACCAGCGATGATTCTGAATCTGTCAACAGAACTACAGTGGCATACCGAGGAGAAAAGGAATCTTGAGGGACAAGACCGAGGTAGCTTTACGAGGTAGCTTTACGATAATGAACGATATTAGTAGTGGTATTTATCATAAATACTAAACAAATCAAATACTTTTAAAATCAATTTGGTCCTAGTATGATTCTTTCTTGAGTTATATGTAGCACATTAGCTATAGCCATCTTGACGACGTAGCCGCAGATGAAGACATACATTGTTCCATATCAGTAAATTGTAAAAGATCCTGGATACTTGATGTGTCGGTAGACAAGTGGTAGTAAAAGCAGGTGCTGCAGGGTAGCATAGTCTATACTGCAATAGGGTTAGTGCTTATCAGCTGAGATATGGACATCTCTAATCTCGTATAATCAAATACAACACAGTGACTTCGATCACTTGTAACATAAAACATAACTACACTTGCATCACGACAGCGATGATAACCACAAGCTTACATCGTAATTCACTACAGCATCATTCACACGAAACCCAGTGATTGTATTCACGGCTCAAAGTCTTTTAGGGCTAGATTGGCTTAACCTTAGTGGGCTAATAAGTCCACCACATACTATATCACTAGGTAGACTTTTAGCGAAAAGCGCACACAAAGTTGCCACCATTGTCCATCACTAGAGCATCCATGCTCTTTGATCCATTCACCATTTGATCTTTGATCATTAATCTTTAATCACTCACTAACTAATCTTTTATCCTTCATCTTTCATTACACTCTAAATACGATCATTCATTCTAGTATATGACATCGCTTAGCACTGAGTAAAAGAACCATCTGAAATCCAATCCACCAACAACTTTCCTTGACAACTTTTCTTCTCAAGCCCCGTCAAGATGGATTTACCATGGAGACCAGAGTTATACAAGCCATCCTCAGCTTGTGAAATTGCTCCTCATCAAATTTTAGAGGCCGAAGTTCGTCTCAAAATTCTCTTTTCCCTGTAGCCCTGGGTGAGTTGGTCGAAGTTTTCACTGATCAATTTCTTCTCTTCTTAGGCCTTGGCGTCCGAAGTCAAAGACTTTGCTCAATTCACAAAGGATATTACAGGAACCCCATACGACCCGGAAAACTGGCTTAATCGTGGTAATTGCCTCCGCCGATTAGGGTACCCGGAACTTGCTCTTGGCGATGTTCAAAAGGCCAGGCTTCTAGTCGAAGCAGCTTTAGAGAATGATTCTACCTTAGGTACTGATGCTTACAAAGCATATAGCCAGAAGATATGGCAGCTCCATCAAACTCACCCAGCATGGATGCCCAGGAAAGCACAGGTTGCCACGCCAGAATCTCTTCGAGCTTTAGTTACAATTCTACTAAAAAGACTGGAACTTCAGATTTGGTCGGAGCTAATGGAAGGATTAATGGCTTCCAATTGCTGCTCAGATTATCTTGAGGTAAGTAAAGATGCGGTAGCCAAGTTCCCAGATGATCAGATTTTCCCTTCGGAAGTAACAAATGCGGAATCATGGTTCGAGCAACGGCAAAATATCCTTCAAGGATATGTTGACGATGAAGAAATGACAGCCGAGGCCATGAAGACTACTCTTTACAACGGAGGCGTCTACCCAACAGCATATCCATGGATGACCGAAGATGTTGTCACAAGATCCGACGAAGTAATAGAAAAGGTGGCGGCCGAATTTGCCTCTGCATCATCCAATTGTGTAGTCTCAAAGAGCACAATTAGATTGGCCATTTCGCCTGAAGAAATATCGGAGATAGATGTACTTGGCGTTGTGGCAACAAGAGATATTCTGGCAAAAGAATCAGTTCTTGTTGACCCTACGCTTGCTGCTGTAGTTGACAGTGTCGACCGCTGCCCAGCTTGTTGTGGGCCATTCTTGAATAAAATCGAAAATTCATGTTGTAAAACTTTGTACTGTAGCTCTTCCTGCTCTCAAATTGCACTGGATAGTTATCATACCATCTCTTGTGGTAAAGGTCTAGATTTCTTGCTCGGGACCGAATCAGAATCTTTGTCAAACCCCACAGAATCGTCTATAGGATCCAACTTATTTCTCCGCGTTCTCGCCCTTTCTTTAAAAGAAAATGCCGCCAGTCCCCTGAAAACTTCTCTCATATCACGCCTCACACCCGCGTACAATCCAAATAACCCTCAACTCATTGCGTTAAATTTCAAGGATCACATCATAACCCCAATCCGCATTCTTCGTGGGCTTGGTATCGATGTATTCGCGAACAGCGCATATGATACATGGGTTCTGCACACTATCTATTGTCGTTTGCAGAACAATAAACACGGGCAAACCTTCGATAATATTTGCGGAACCGCCGTAAATCCTTTATATTCGATGTTTAATCACAGCTGCGATCCCAACATTGATTGGAGACACGACGATGAAAACAGCACAGTCACTATGTTTGCTGAGAGAGATATCAGGAAAGGGGACGAGATGTTTATTTCGTATATCGGGAGAGGCAAGGGTCTTAAGGAAAGACAAGGGAAACTTATGCCTTGGTTTGGCATGGATTGTGCATGTCACAAGTGTGACGAGGAGAAATTAGAGGCGATGGCGGCAGGTATCACCATCTGAGCCGGAATTTTCTAGTAGCGAACACATTTTTAGATAGACACGAGATCAACTTCCAGGCTCAATGTTACTCATCAAAAACTACCCGTTGCTTATTGTTTTTTTCTTCTGTCCATTTAAATTGGCATTGACAAGCCTAGGAAGTGATCCCTTATTATCTAAGCTTCTTGCAGACCTTTGTCTATGCACGTTTGGTACAATAGCACAAGTGTTATGTGTCGTATAAAACTCGACAACTTTACATCACACCAGGTCCCTTCAAAATGGAGTCATCTCATACTCCCTATTCCTGGGTGAGAAACTCAGTCAATTTTATGGGTTTTGATCCACTTTAACGATCATATGCCAAAACCTTATTACAGAACAGGAAAAGTATGATATAAAGTTATCGAGCTTACACAGAAGATCTACATGATATATCATAGAGTTGAATCTGCTGATATTGGGAAAGATTAATCATACGCATGCATATAGCCGTGTCAGCGATAAGTACTCGTACTGCCAGAAAGTATGCAACTCCGACGCTAGATGCACATACCACAAGATGGTAAACTACAAGAGGACTAACCTGGTTTTCATAGCGCCGGAGTTGCATACTTTCTGGCAGCACGAGTAATAATACCAATCACGTTTGACATGTACCACCGAAGCCTCCTAATTTTGTGTAAAAAAGTGGGAGTCGTCAGTTTCCTCCCCGTTTTTTGATATAAGGATGGTGTGTCATTCGTCGCCTTGTTTCGACCAGCTAATACTTTCTCCTCCAATGATATCTAATGTTTCTTTCCTATCTGCAAAATTGTGGGCCTTGTAAATCGATTTCCAATGATGCATCGTATTTCCTTGCATTGACACTCGTCATCTTTCTGCAGTATTCAATATCCTGGCTGATTATTTTACGGCATCCCAATGCAGCACCTATTACGTTGCGTTGGGTGCGTTTCTAAACTTCAGCTCGGCAGTCAGTTCAATGGAAACTTGTGTCACTTATCTATATTATCTCTATTATCTCGAGACAATGAGATTTATTGCTTCAATCGCTCAATGGTCTTTCAAATACTGCACCTTCAACATGACGGCCATTACTTATCTAGAAATTATTCTTTTTCTATTCTTGTCCTTGTGGACCATCTATGGCGCTATATATCGTCTATGCTTAAGCCCCATTGCCAAGTTTCCGGGCCCAAAGCTTGCAGCTTTGACATCGTGGTATGAGATCTACTTCAACATCGTGCGTGATGGACAGTGGCTTTGGGAAATCAAACGAATGCACGAAGAGTATGGTATGTTTAATTGTCTCCTCGACGCTTCACTGTGACTGAAATTTGCAGGCCCAATCGTACGCATTAATCCTTATGAATTACACATTAATGATGTAGATTATTATGATGAGTTATACGCGGGCAACACGAGAAAACGTGAAAAGTAGGTCATGAAAAAATTTAGCTTAAGTTAGGAAGTTTGGGTGCTCCGGTATCTTTACATGAAGTCCTCGAGATGAGCCATTTCAACTCATGTCATCCTAAAAGTTATTGAATTGCTGATTTCATACTACTCCCTACTCGCATATTCTTAAAGCACCAAGAATGGCGGGAATGGCAAGGTCGATGGATGTGTCTAGGACTGCACTTGTACTTTTACTTCTCACCTCACAGAATCATTAGATCGTGTAGGACTTTTGTACTAATAAACGATGACAGATATCCATGGTTTGTTAGTGCTGGTGGTTCTCCAGGAAGTTCTTTTGAAACCATAGGACATGACCTCCATCGTCTTCGAAGAAACGCTGTCAACCCTTTCTTCTCTAAGCGATCTATCGTGGCTATGGAGCCGCTTATCAAATCAAAAATCTCTCTGCTGTCTAATATATTTCAGTCTCATTTCACACAAGCAACCCCTATCAATCTTCGGGTGGTGTTCTCATCGCTTACTTTGGATGTGATTTCTGATTATTGTTATGGGGAAGCTTTCGGCGCTTTGACTGATGAGAATTTGGCTGAGATATGGAGCAAGACCCTTTCTCAAATCATGTCTATAACAACTATTGTGATGCATTTTCCTATAGTGTATAAAATCCTATCATGCCTGCCTGATAGCCTAGCTGGGCCGGTGTTGGGACATCACAGAGTCAGTCTAAAACCATCTCTTTCTTGTTCACAAACCGACACCTGACTATACATACTAGAACTCAAGAAAACAAGTGGCGCGTATTTTGAATCATGAAGATGTTGGAGGTCGTCAGAATACAATATTCCATGAACTTCGCGATAGTAGTCTTCTTCCTCCAGAAGAAAAGACACTTAGGCGACTGGCTGATGATGGAAATATCATGGTTGGAGCTGGAGGCGAGACCACAGCTCAAACTTTAGCCGTATTGTTTTATCATCTCCTGGATAATCCCAAAATGCTATCGAGGGTCAAGGATGAAATTGGCACCTTGGGTGATGACATTACATGGGGAAGATTGGAAACCCTACCATTCCTGGTGAGCCTACGCGAGACATTGAAATTCCAAATCGCTACTAATGGACGCTCTCACAGTCGGCGGCCATAACCGAAGCATTACGCCTCTCAAGCGTGGTAACCTCGCGTCTTCCTAGAATCGCACCCAATGAAGACATGAAGTTTCAGAAATGGACAATTCCTGCCGGTGTATGTATAACCCTTTTTCATGGTCCCTTTGTATTGATTTTCATCGATGTCTGAGGACCTGTTTACCATTCTCTCCCCCTTGACCATGCTTACCATTTTGACGGAATATAGACACCAACAAGCATGTCTTATTATTTGATGCACTACTCCCCCGAAATTTTCCCCTCTCCTAGTGAATTCAACCCGAACCGCTGGCTTGCGGAATCAGTTTCAAAAGATTCGACCACTGGAGATGCAGTGCGCAAACATAGGTTGGACAAGTATTTCGTCCCTTTTTGCAAGGGGACCAGAATATGTCTTGGCATGAAGTATGAAATTCACCATGTTCCTACCTCTCTAGTGTTTTGACTAACAGAATAATCTCAAAAACAGCCTAGCGTATGCAGAATTGTTTCTCACAACAGCGTATATACTCAAACGTTTTGATCTTGAGCTTTATGGAACTACAAAGAGAGATGTGGAGATCAAGAGAGATCATTTTGTTGCAGCGCCAGCGGCAGGAAGTAAAGGTATTAGGGTTATAGTCACGCATGATAATGGGGAATAAGGAAGTGATGGGGTGCGGTATTTCGATGTAGGTACTTATGCATCTTAAAGTCTTATCGGAATTTGAATTATATTTAGGAGCTTGCGCTACCTGCCTTTCCGCTCGTTGTACCAGTGTGAAAAGTTTTTGTTCCATAAACTACGCGATAGCTTGTTAGTAGAAGACCATCAAACGATTTTGGGTTATAGGGCCTACCAGGTAGTTCCGTCTCGATTGCTAGATGGGTAAAAATCTCATCTTGTACGGTGATGAGGAGGCTTGAAACCGGTTCCGTTGGTACCACTGTTCCATCCGTTTCCTTAACAATCCATCGTAGATTGGCTTTCAAATAATCCACTACGTCGTAAATATCAGAGGTGTCCACTGCTTTGACAGCGTATACAGATATGAAACTCATTGTGTTAAGTCAACCCTGGAGGGGTTCCTCAATCGGCAACAGGAAGGGGGCAACACATAAAAGGAATCTACGGGAGTGTCACCTTCAGTATACAACCTGACGGTGCACCTCTCATAAAGTGCCGAAGACATAGCCTGAATAGCCACCGACCCTTTTATATTCTCATCTCCCCTATTGGAGCCGCTGAAGACTCCCTCAGAATTGTACAATGCATTCATATTTGCAGTGAAATTAGCAAGAAGCTCGGTTGCGTTTGTAATGATCGTATCGGGAACTGAAGCATGTGAATATCCAAAGGTACTAGTTTAGCGAGCAGCATCCGATATCCAGGGCGTCTCCCTATCAGGTTGGTGGAAGGGGGTCAAAGGTGACGCAGAAGTATTGCTACCACCCAGAGCGATTGTAGAAGTCCAGATCAAGTCAGACTCTGGAAGTATCCAAACATTGGGATAGGTCGCTTGCCAGATGATAAATTGACGGTCCACATTGGCGTGGTGAAGCCATAAGATTAGATCAAATGCATAGTGACTCAGCTGACTCATATGACCGTATGGGTCTCCAATAGCAACGTGTACAGCGCCATGAGAAATTTTGTGAGATGAATCAGGAGAGACTTCGATGGCCATCTTGTGAAATGATGTTGCTTTGGAGGACATAGAATAGATCATACTCATCAAACCTTTGGTGCCCATGTCTTCATTTACTATATCTGGCTGAGGTGTCCCCAGAATCGTTGCATTAAGGAATTTCAAAGTAGTTGAATCTTGAGCCAAGTCTTCATTCGCAGTGTTGGTACCCATAGTAGGATGTCAGTTTGCGTTCAATTGAAACTGCCAAAATCTGTAAAATATAAGAGGTTTTGCAATACTCTGAGTGGCAGAGGGTGTGTCGATCTGGACTGTGGCATCACTAACAACTGGGGGGAGAGCTGGAACGGCAATCAAGTCTCAATACGGGATACAGAAATTTGCAGCCACGTCGGTGTGACTGGCCTGTGGCGGCATTTGTCTGTGCGTGACTAGCTAGAACTTGATTATATGAGGCCAAATATGGACTATGCCAGGTAGGAAGTAACACGTCGTCATGAGCACAATGCCCATTTGCGGAGGCGCTGGATTCCAGCTCACACTCTCCCATGAACAGTATGGACGAATGTGAATACCAGCCATCTGAAACCAGGATAATAAGTTATCTTTTGAGACTTGCTGTAAAGAAATAAGTGCTTAGATGTATAGAGACCTGAGATATATTAGTCACCAAGTCAAGAAGCGGCCTTCGACGTTGCTATTTTTCCAACCACAGTCGGGAACCAGACTTATTCGGATCCTTCGATGCAATTTTGCAATTCAGAAAATAATTAAGAAGACTAGGGCTTTGGCAAGCCATTCAAACACTCGAGTCATGTGTGGATATTCAAATGTCAACTAGGAATTGACATTCCATCCCCCTTCAATTGCTTGGCTCTGCGGTGATTGGGATTGATTTCCTTGATCGAAACTATGCCAAATGTAAAGATTCAAGTATATTAAGCTGGGAAGTCATTTTGGAGGTCAAATATATCTCTTCACACAGGTGTGGCTCAAGTCTGTGCATCAATGCTAGTTTAACACCAAGGAACATAAAGAGTTCAGGTAAGGGACCCTGTATGTGTAGTTTATAAGCAATGAAATATTATAAATCACTGACTAGAACCAAATTGGGACCAAGAAGGATCCTGTCACAATAACAGTTTGTTTGACGGGGAATAGAATAGATTCAGCATAGAATGAAGAGCTGGACATGGAGAATAGTATACTTTTATACAAAAGGATGCATAAAAGGCTACCTTAATATGTGCCATGCATATACATGCTAGGATTGTAACAATTCCTCTTCGCAGGAAGTCCTGTTATGTTTATCTGAGAAGCCACTGTCGGGTACCTAAACTAGAAAAGACCTCCGAGTTGAGAGAACTCTAGGACAAAAATGAAGATATCTTTTGGAGACTATCATGAAAATTTGTCCACCTTATGGCCGTTCGTTGGTGTCTACCTTCATTTATGTGAAGGTGGGGTGTTATTTGATTCTGGTTAGGCAGATTCCTAAAGTGGTGAAAACAGGCTGACGGTATCGGAAAGCTTGCTTCTCCAAGAATAACGGCGCGGAAACACAAGTATTAGAGCATGATATATGCATATTGGGAGGCTATAGCGGCGACCAGGCAACTAGCTGGGTCGTCAACCACCATGAGCTGAAATATAGAAATTTTCAACGATCATATTTCGATTATCGAGTCGTTGAAGAACATACGATAAACCGCCCGACAAGATCTGGACAGAGCGGTGCTTGGGTCCAAATTGCCCCCCTCTAGTCCTGACGTTTATTGCCGATCAATACGAGCTTCTACACGTGTCAATGAAAGCGACTATGCCCAAGCGAAGACTCGCTAAGTCTAGCCATGCCTTGCCTTTGATTGCCCTATTCCTGACTATACGAGATGAGAATTGGAGTTGACTGTAGTCAGCAATCTGTCCCGCCGCTATGCCACGAATTTACTCTCTAGATTTGGCTTCGTACGATACTATTGATACCCCTGATTCGATGCACCTTTCCACATTCTGCCTTCCCCAGAAGTAGGGAAGCCTGAATTCGATAGAATACGAAAAACTACTCACTAGTAGAAGTGTGGATGTTCATTAAGTCGGTTACCCTACTTTCGGGCCACCCCTGTTTTGGGCCACCCTTTCATACCAAAAATCACTTTTTAGATCTATTAATATTTCTATCAATATTCAATATAATTCCATGAAAATTTATATGTATATAATTTAGATCGATTTAAGCTTATTCTGAAATTTTTAGATTTTTAGGATTTTTCTGTATTAAGAACTAAAACTTCAAAATATCGATTTTCAAATTTGTATAGGAATCACATATAAATTTAAAACTTTTATAAAATCTTTAATAACTTTTTAATAACAATTATTAAAAGAAAACTATATATATTTTTGAGATATTTAAACTTGAATCTATTTAGAAATTCAAAAAAAAATTCGAAAAAATTAACAGATATAGAAATATAGTATATAGTGAGTTTAGAGTAGTATAAATAATCCCTGTCATTTTGAGGGTATTCCTATAAATATTTATTTATAAGGAATTTTCTATTTTTTCTGAATCTCTTATATTAAATATATTATAAATTTATAATAAAACTTTATAGTTTATTTTTAGCAATTTTTATTAAAAAGTTATTAACGATTTTATAAAAAATTTAAATTTATATATAATTCCTATATAAATTTAAAAATCAATATTTTGAAGTTTTAGTTTTCAATACAAAAAAATCTTAAAAATCTAAAAATTTCAAAATAAGCTTAAATCGATTTAAATTATATATATACAAATTTTCATTAAATTCCATCCATAAATAAGAAAGTTATAAATTCCATTTTTGGTGTATTTTTGGTATAAAAAGTGGCTTAAAAGGGGGGTGGCCCGAAAGTGGGGTATCCGACTTAATGATTATTGATGAAATGAGCTCTACGGCGGGAACCAGCTTCCGCGTCCAGAGCGATCTTGAATGGGCCCGAATTCGAAAATTGAAAAGCTTCACTTGTCAAGTACAGCCGCCTGAATCATCAATATGAGGTGCGTAGTATGATAATGGTCACGTTGAGTGAATTCGATATGTAACAGGTTCATTCTAGCCCCCAATTGAAAGAACTGTTACAGGGCCGAACCTTTGAGTCCAGTGATGGTCTCCTCATTGGGTACTGTGTACCATGGAATAGGCTCCGACAAAAGTTTCAACTATATCATCATTCTTGGCGGCAGAATAACTTCGAGAAAATACTGTGACCATGAACGATGAGATATTTGAGTAAGTAGATATAAAATATTGGTGAATTGATATATGTTTTCTTAGGAATTGTAGTTGTTCTCGATATATATATATATATAAAGATGCTCTCATCGTGTCGAGCTCTTGACGCTCACATCCTCTATACTTATATTCATCTCGCAATCCAGTGATGGTCCTTGTGCTCTTGATATCATAGAGTTTCGGGATCTTCTGTGCAGCAACTCTATGTCCGCTCCGTAGCCATGGTCAAATCCCATTTATTGTGTAGATAACCTCGTAGGTACAGGTAGAGTAGATGCGGAGCATGTAAAAATGTGAAATGTTACCACAAGCATAAAAGAAATGTTTGAATATGAAGCACACTGGTGCTGAATTCTTGCAGGTGGGAATGATGGCATATACTTGGATCTACTGACAACAAAGCATGGAAAGTATTGACCGCGTTCCATACCTTTATCTGTCATTGCATAGAGCAGGACAATTTACCGATTCTTTCGAGGCAGGATGTGACGCTATTATGCTGCCATTGCCTGTGGTTCTCGAAGTTCAATTCGCCTGGAAATAGAATTTGAATATTAGGTTAATACTTCATTGATATCAAGTTTTGAATGAAGATTGAAATGGTAAGAAACATAAACTTTGATAAGTGTACGTATTGCGTTCATTCAGGTTAACCTCTGCCTTGTGCAATTGACTATTCTGAGCTCCGAGAGATGTACATCCTTTTCTTAGAAACTTTATGCCCAGTCTTCTAACGCAACAGAAATCATTAGTTATACGCCTGTTTCCAAAAAGTTATGACCAAATCATCGACAGCGATTCTTGGATGGTCTCCGATTTCCAGAACCTTCGATTTTGTCCACTTACGGCAACTGTGAGTTACACCTATGATTTTATAGGCTGCGGTCTTCCCCAGCAAGATAGCATTGTGATTTTGGTATCATGTTAGTTCATCTTTTGCACTATGACGCCAATGAGTTGCGACCTGAGGTCCTCATTCTATCTATCTTATTTTCAAATAGTATGCGAATCTATATTTGGGGTAGAGCTTAAGGAAGCGTCAGATTCTCGATCGTATGGGTAGCTTCAGGTACTAGGTGGGCAATCTGATTTGGATCACGCATGGCTATAGTAAGATCGTCCGGGAGTCTACCAGAGTAAAGAAGATTCTACTACAGATTAGTGGATTTTTTGAAGAAATTGATGACTTTACTCACTTTTTTGACAGTGTCAAATGTATCTTCTCTCTCGGTATAGTCGCGAATTACCTTGCTTGTGTTGAAATCGACATAGATCCTAGTATCTCTGATCCTAACAAGAACATTATCGAGTCTCATGAACAATCTGCACAAGAGAAGCATTCGGTCAGGCATAACCCGCAATTTGCAAGAAAACACAGATATTCCGTTGTCGTCTAGCTCACTCTCATATAAAACAACTTCTTCGAAAAACAGAATGGGATCTTGACGCTTAAGAAGGGCAATAGGTATCGGATCGGAGTTATCCAACGTAAACAATTTCCCGTTGGTGATAGTGCCTTTGTAATCTGTTGTATATGACCAGTCGAAAGGCTTAACGATTTCTTTGATGCCTTCATGGGTTTTTTCCCTATATCATGTTAGCTTTGACATGTTGAAACCCAAGGATTCTGGCTCCCTACCTGCTACTTGACCACTCTTTTGAATAGGCTACTTGTAACATATTTTTGTCCGTCTTGTCCACGCGATCCAGAGCATCGTATGCATTAAATTCCATGCGCCATCCACTCGCTACGTGCTCGATCGCAACCATATTATCACCAAAGATCATCTCTGGAACTGGTATGCCGAGCTTCTCTGACATCTGATCTATTGGACCTGATTTCGAGATTGGGAGTTTACGTGCACTGATTTTGAAGCCTTTCTGAACATGCGACACAGTAGCGGTATCTGCCGCACTGGGCATTGGGTAAGGCTCATTGATAGGACCGTTGAATGCCATGATTGTAGATTGTAGATTGTGAGTTGTAGATTGGATATGAACGACGTGTGGGATAATGAATGATTGATCTGGTCTGAGTTCGATTCAAGCACTGATCAGGTTCAAGATGACTCTTTTCGATTGCGTCTTTGGCGGATATGAAATGCGAGACAAGGTAGAGGCAGAGCTCTAATTCAAGCTCTGTTCAGTAAAAGCTTAGATTCGAGTTCAAGTGCCACTTCCACTTCCACTTCCGGTTCCACTTCGAGTTCCAGTTCGAGTTCCAGTTCCAGTTCCAGTTCCAGTTCCAGTTCCAGTTCCAGTTGAAGATTGCTCCTTATTCGATTCCAAGAGTGATGTGACGATGGTTTAATCTGTAGGGAGTATGACTACCTAGGTATGGCGCATAAGATGCACGATTGTGAGTGTGTGCTACTATGCCTGTTTGGTGGGGTGAGACGAAACAAGGCTGCCGAGGCTGCTTTAGTTGTTTTGGTGGGCACGTGGTGAGTGGGGAAAGCTTTCCTCTCTCGAGCCTCTCTCCAGCCAAACCTCTTCCGAAATCTCACTCCTCACTGGGCATTTCTCGGATTGGTTTCGTGTGTTGCTGTGTCAACAAGCATTGACTTTTTAGCCGCTACCTTTTCCAGCTTTTCTAAATAATAACCTCTCGTCTCGTCCGTCACCTTGGATTTCCAATGATCTCTCGAATATATCAATAATACTTTCGTTATCATCCACTATTTTACTAACCTAGTAGTCAAACTCCTTCAGACTCCTTCAAACTCCTTCAATCGACCAAGATCCTTTCAACATTTTCTTCAATTCTTGCCCTTTATCTCTGATATCTCGCAATGGCTGCCCATGCCCTTGAATCGCGCTTTGAGCGGATGTCTGTAAATGATGAGAACGATCCAGGGGAAGGAAAGAAATACATGTCCAAGGTGAATGAATTCCATACCAGAGATCAAATACATCGTAGCTAATTGATACCGAGCAGATCGCATCTACTACATCTTCCAGCACACAATTATCACAAAATGCCAATAGAGCAAACCTTCTCAAGATGGCTTTGCAAAATAAGAATACAGTAAACACAATCACCACAGTCACAGCTTCATCACAGGAGCCAGCTTCTCCTTCGAGGAAACCAACTACATCATACCGAGATTCTGAACAAGTTGCCAGAATCGAGCGCAAATCGAACCCTATGTATCAGGAGCCAGCTCCAGTGAAACAGTTTCATCTCGGCATGTTTGAAATTGGTAGACCTCTTGGTAAAGGCAAATTTGGCCGTGTATATCTGGCAAGAGAACGTAGTACTGGATTTGTTTGTGCCTTGAAAGTTTTACACAAAAACGAGATACAAAAGGGCAAAGTAGAGAAGCAGGTCCGACGGGAAATCGAAATTCAAAGTAATCTACGGCACCCAAATATCCTCCAATTGTATGGCCACTTTCATGACAGCAAGCGAGTCTTCTTAATTCTAGAATTTGCTGGCAAAGGAGAACTTTACAAGCATCTTCGTAGAGAGACAAAATTTCCGGAATGGAAAGCAGCTCACTACATTGCGCAAATGGCTGCCGCTCTGAAGTATCTCCACAAGAAGCATGTCATGCATCGGGATATCAAACCAGAAAACATCCTGGTGGGTATCCATGGCGAGCTCAAAATCGCAGATTTTGGCTGGAGCGTCCATGCCCCTAATGGCAGAAGAAATACTATGTGTGGAACTTTAGATTATCTACCACCTGAGATGTTGCAGAGCAACAGCAACTACTACAACGAGAAGGTCGATTTGTGGAGTCTGGGTGTATTGATGTACGAGTTTTTAGTTGGCGAGGCTCCTTTCGAGGACACTGTAGTCATGACACACAGGAGGATAGCAAGGTGTGAAATGACTATTCCAGGCTTTGTTTCCTCAGAGGCAAAGGATCTGATCAAGAGGGTATGTTCGATTTCATCTCAACATTCGTCTCATACTAATTATTGTCATAGCTACTGGTACTCGATCCCGAGAAACGAATTCCCCTCGAACAGGTTGAGAAGCACCCCTGGATTATTAAGCACTGTGTGAAGGGTGAGCGAGCTAGTATGCGGGATTCAAAATCCACTGGTAGCAAGTCTCCGCCGGAGAGTAGCAAAACCGCCGTAGAGACCCGTGAGGAATGATTTGACGAATTCTGTTTTGTTTTGAGCATTGGCGTTTAAGGAGTAGAATGATTGAGATGATTCTTGGGGAGAACAAGTTGAGTAAGAGTTTGGGATTTGCATCTAATGTTTCCATTACACTGGCGCCTATCTTGATATACATTTCTATACCCGAGTACCTAAGTACTGAATACGATTATTTAACAAAGCAAACTTTCTATTATTACATGGGCGTATCTCATGAAACGACCTCACTTGTAGATCTCGTCAAAGGGTCGAGTATCCGAGTAACACGAATCCCAAACTTCGTTAACTATCTTTACGGCTTGAACATCGTCTTTACACCAAGGTCTAGCCAATACCGACTTGACTGCTCTCCTGCGTACGCAGTCCTGATGTTGTTGTGTTATCCTGTAGTTATTTCTCGTCCAGAACTCCCTTGCCCATCTACATTCTCCACTCAGACTTGCTGCTCTGATCTATGTTATCGTTTAGCTGTTTTGTCTGTACTCGTACTAGGCCAGGGCAGACAAACCTCCGAACAAGCTGCATGTCGCAGATCTCTCCAGTCCACCTTCCATCTTAAATGATCCCAAGCGTGCACCATTTCATGTGCCAACGTATCCTCCACATGTTTACTATCCCTCATCTCATTCGCACATAACTGAATACCATGCTCGGGGCTAAAACCCCCACCTTGCCTCACCGTTTTCCCATCTTCTGTGATTCGTGTGGGACATCTCCTGCAACGTATATTATCTGCATCAAGCTTCCCATTGAGATCTCGTATGTTTTTTTGCATAAATATAACGATCGGTGAGTATTTTAAGTTATAGTCTCGCCATTCTTCACATCGGTCGCAGTCGCGCTTCTCATGGCGAGCGTATTGATCTTCGCGATAGAGTATCTGGTGGGATGGAGGCATTGTGCCAAGTAGGATAGAGAACCAATTGCGTGTTCGAGCAGTTGGGTCGAATTGCGGTTCCGACTCCTTCGCAGAGTCGGGGACAAGCGGAGGCTTGTTTCCGTCCGAGGATGACATTATAGATAAGTAGCTACAACACTTACGCTTTGCGATGTACCAAGTAGAGCGCTGTTTGTTGATACAACGATTGTTCACTAAAATAACTTTTGGTGGGCGGTGGGAAAATTCTGCCGGCATCGGATTGATATAAAACAACCCAAGACAACATTCATTTCTTTGATGATTTGCTAAGTATACACACACATTACACGACGGTCTCTGATATCTTGTCAAACGTATTCTACATAACAAGATGAACGTTGGCAAGATGAAGACCCCGAAATCTTTGACTATAGTTATAAAGTTAGGTACTTACAAACCTCATCTTTTCAAAGGCCAGAAGCTGAGTCACGGGACATTATAGGGACCAGTTCCATCGTGGATGAGAAAACTCATGAGCCGTTATTGAGTATTTTGAGTTTGATTGTTGAGACTGCTGTGAGACTACACAAAGATGGACACAAAGTTATTATTGTATCCTCCGGAGCTATTGGAGTTGGACTTCGAAGAATGGACCTGGATAAGAGGCCAAAACATCTTCCCCGAGTACAAGTATGTCTCGTTCAAAGCAGCTAGTCAGTGGATGTTTGACTAATATTGGTGGGTGTAGGCTTTAGCAGCAATCGGACAATGTCGTCTTATAAGTCTATGGGATAGCTTGTTCGCTCACTTACAACAACCTGTTGCACAAATTTTACTCACGAGAAATGATATTGCAGATGTAAGCTCACCATGTAAACATGAATCACTACATGACTTACACTTTGTAGCGAACCCAATACCGAAATGCTCAAAACACCTTGCACGAGCTTCTCGAGATGGGCGTCATCCCTATCGTTAACGAAAACGATACCCTAGCTGTCGCTGAAATCAAATTCGGAGACAATGATACTCTATCTGCAATCACTGCGGCTATGCTCCATGCAGATTACTTATTCCTGATGACTGATGTCGACTGTCTCTATGATAAAAACCCTCGAACGCATCCAGATGCACAAGCAATTGAGGTTGTTGAAGACATCTCCGCATTACAGGCCGATGGTAGTCGTTCCCCATTCAGTTCTTATGCCCTCTCGAAATAAATGCACTAACTCTCCATCTTCAGTATCAAGTGCTGGCTCTAGCCTCGGTACAGGGGGAATGTCCACAAAAATAGTTGCTGCCCGTCTAGCCACCTCCGCAGGTGTGACAACTGTCATAACACGGTCCTCTAGCCCAGGAAACATTGCAAGTATTGTGAGCTATGTTCAATCCCTCAAAAATTCCGCTTTGGGCGGTAGGGGCGGTGATGTTATTTCGCAATCACAGACACCAGAAACTCTCACGAGATCCAATTCCACACTATCTCTTACTGGTTTAACGTCATCGCTTGTGGAGCCACCTCTACATACCAGGTTCCTTCCCTCGCATCAGCCGATCAGGGACCGCTATTTCTGGCTTCTACATGGCCTCTCTCCACATGGAACGATCTATATTGATGCTGGTGCTCATCGAGCATTGGCGGCCAAAGCCGGTCTGCTTCCTGCCGGGATTGTAGATGTAGAGGGCAGCTTTGCCCAGCAAGAAGCCGTGCGTCTAGTAGTTGTCGAGCGCCCAGGATCGTCAGATGCAAAGATTGTGGCAGGGTCAGGAGTCGAAGTGGGTAGGGCGTTAGTAAACTACAGTGCAATGGAGATAGCTAGGATTAAAGGTGTGAGAAGTAGTGAAATACATGGATTGTTAGGCTATGCAGATAGTGAGTATGTTGCTTTGAGGGAGAATATAAGCTTCTTCGAAAGAGGGAGTAGAAGTGCAACACCGGTTCTCAGTTAGTTATTAAATATAGACTCAACGATGACACTAGAAACAAGTTAATTCATCTGATGATGAATTCAACAATTCTGATAAATGTAGTAGATACTGTAGATATGACTAAAGAAAATCTTTATATTGGATTATTAGACTGATCTACCTGACTTTAGGCTGTTGACCCGAGGTGGACAATTCAAGCTTATAGAGTGCGTTGATTACATAAAGGCAACTTCTTTAATGAGATTATGATGCTCCGAGAAAAGTTGCAAGTACCGGGGGCTCTGCTTTATAAGTTATAACTCTTGGTAGAATCATTGTAACCTTATGGCTCGAGTCTCGACCTTTTGTATGATGAAGGGCCGAACGACCTTCCATTCTTGTGTTGGTCGTCAGGAGTATGCCGTCGGGACTCGGGTACGCATAAAATGGGTTACTAATCAGACTTTTCTCCACTACCACCGCCGCCACCTGAAATTTGAAAGTTAAACCCCTTCAACATCTCGAGATCGCCGCATCGAAAGCTTCATTAATCGCATGAAGGGACAGGTATTTGTTGGCGGTAGGGCCATTGTCAAAACAATGAATTCTAAGTAGCGATCCATCCATTCTGAATAGATTCTGAATGTTAAGTTCGCTGAGACTTGCACTACCACTTAGACTCAGCAGAGCCCTCTGGATCAGGAATAAAGAAGGAGCCATGTTCGTGGTGTTTGTGGAGTCAACCAACGTTTATGCATGAAAACTTAAAAGAAGCTTAAAAAAGTTTAAAAATACTCGGGACACTCGAAGCCTTGGAGGAGATGAGCGTATCCACTATTGTCAAGCGAGTCATAGGTATTAGGTTTTTCACATCAGACTCAGTTCACATATCAACCCACCTCGAACGAAACGAGCTTCGGACGTTTGAGTATGATTATTAAGGGAGATGATTCAGATCAATGGCTTTCTATCATCAATCAATACGAACTCAGACCAGACTAATCCTTGTCAACTTGCTCGAAGCTATTCCCATGGAAAATAGGGTCCAAAATCAATCTACCAAGTGGAACCAATCGAAATATTGCTAGCGCATTCTTTCAACTCAAATCAGGGTATGGGTATATTAAATCTTATTTATATCGATTTCAAATTCACTATACAGTTCCTATTTTATACAAAGATAGGAATCATCGAGTTGGCTTTCAAGTTTATTAATACTACCAAAATTGCTACAAGAGCTTGGCATTTGGTAAGAGCTCTCGAAAAAGAAGAAATAGAGTAAGGAGACGTAGTAGTAGAGGAGGGAATAAGCGTAAGCAAGGAAGAGGCAGTAATGGAGGAAAGAGAAGGGATTAACCTCCCTATTATCTCATGGCATTGGTCCCCAGCATTTGTTTTCACTTCCCCAATTAGATCATATCAACATTGTAAACTAAAAATTTACCTATTAGGCTCTTACAGCCTAGCCGTTTTATATTAACGTCCGTCCATCTTCAGTTCAACACTTGAAGATGGACGTTAATACAACCAATCAATCAGTTCACCTATTCCATAACTTCATATCGGTATTTCATCTGATGACCTGAGAGGCTGAGATATAGCAGTCTTCAATATCTCGTATCGAGGAAAGGTCAAGACTCAAGACTGTCACTTTTCAATATCGGATGACATTATTCGAAAGAGAGTTCGTGGGCCAAGAATGCCATGCATGATCTATTGACTGTTGTCTAAATTTTCAATGCTGATGATATCAAGGGAATTTCTCTGAGAAGTGATTTTACAACTTACAGTTGCTGACTAGTCTTCGAATTCAAAGTTTCTTGGGAGAAAGAATTGATATTATTCGAAAGAGAGTTCACAAGCCAAGAATGCTATAGTCTATTGACTGTTGTCTAGACTTTCAATGCTGATAATATCAAGGGAATTTCTCTGAGAAGCGATTTTAAAACTCACAATTGCTGAGTAGTTTTCGAATTCAGAGTTTCTTGGGAGGAGTGATTAAGGAAAAGGAGAAAAAATTAAGGAAATGGAGGAACAATTTACTAGGTATTGCCTAGATCAGCAGCATACTACACATCCTCACTGTCAGTCGTTAAGTGTACCAAGTGGTACTCGAAGAATCTATAAGTACTGTGTAGATTCCTCTGTATAAACATCATCACTCTCATCAGCATCACCTCTTCTCCCTCATAACATATCTTCACACAATATCAATCCTCCAACTAAAGTCAATCTTTCCCACTCAAAAATGTTCTTCTCCAATACCAAACTTCTTTACCTCCTCGCCGCAGCAGCAGCCGTCAAAGGCGCTCCCATTGAGGAAAGCAACATCACAGCTCGCGCTGTCGTTCCCCATAATTCCATCCGTCCATGGCCAGAAAATGTGCCCGGTGGTGCATTAGGCAATACCTTGAGGGAATTCGAGCCATACATTCACATTGCTCATGGATGTAAACCATACAGCGCTGTCGATGGCTACGGTAACACAAGGTATGAAAACTCTCTCCTCCCTTCCCTTCTCTCCTGATGGAATCTGGCTAACACAGCTTTCAGTGGTGGACTTCAAGATAGTAGCGACCCAACCGGTTTCTGCAATGATCCCCAGTATGGCCAAACCTATGTTCGAGGTGGCTGGTCCGGAGGCCGCTATGGAATCATGTACGCTTGGTGTAAGTCTTCTCCTTTCTCCCTCTCCCCCTCTCCCCTCTATCCAATCCCTCTGCCCATCTAACACACCCCCAGATTGGCCCAAAGACCATCCCGCTGCCGGAAACCTTGTCGGCGGTCATCGTCACGACTGGGAGCATGTCATCGTCTGGGTCAACAATCCCGAGGTCGCCAACCCCGTACTCATCGGTGCCGCAGCATCCGGCCACGGAGGAGTGTCGAAAACTACCAATCCCCCACGCCAGGGCACTAGACCCAAAGTCGAGTATTTTGTTCAGTTCCCAAAGAACCATGCATTACAGTTCACCAATACTCCGGGTGTAGATCTACCCATGATGTGGTGGGGGTTCTTGCCAGAGGTTAGCAAGAAGGCTTTGAACGTTAGAGACCTTTTTGGAGCTGCAGTCTGTCCTTTCAACGACGACAACTTTGCCAACAATCTTGCCAAGGCGGCTATGTAACTTCTGGATTGGCTGCAAAGAGCAACCGATCATCTGGGATTCTACAGAGCTGTGGAGATGGTCATTTGATGTTGTTTTAGATGCTTTCTCTTACTGTTTGGTTTATTAGACTTCTTTTTGTTCCTTTTGATTTTTCTAGATGGGTGGTTACAAATGAGTTGCAGGGGGTTTTGATGAAGAGGGGATTTCAGTTCAAAGTTTGTGGTCATTCTTTTGTTTTATTGAAGTTTGCGAGATCTCGGTTTAATATTTATTATACTTGGATAAAATATTGACGCCCTGCAGTGACATCGTGATGAATATCATCAAAGCTTGACTATCCCGAACCATATCATTTCTGCTCTAATTGATAGTTGACTCTTTAACAATCAGCCGCTTCGTTCTTATTACACCTCCCCAAACACCTATATCCCATATCCTCCGCAAACAAAGCAGAATACCAATTTCAACACACCTTCTTCTTTAACCTCCTCATCATCACATTTCATACTCCTCAAACAACATTTGACTAGTCCAGTGATGGGAGTACGAGTAGTATGCGAGATACTTCATATACATCCCACTATAGTAATACGCAATATATTCAATACTACATATTGAGTATCCGAATGTTTTCCTATTTTTCTCTCTGATAAGAGAGATGCCCTCTAGCTTATATCATTCCATTCCCCATCCCCCATCCCCCCTCTTAATGTGAATCTAGCATCTCATCTTACTCTCAAATCTCCGGCCCAGTTACTTCTCCAGTAGAATGAACGTTTATTAAGCAATTGTTCTCCTTCCCCTTACCCATACTCAACCGACGAGGCCCGTATATGTTCCGCAAAGAGCTCTGTACTAAGGTGACTGACCTCGCCCTGAAGAATATCCCGACCATTTCGGAAACCCCAATCGGATGGGTGGTTACCGTGGATACTGAAGAGACCAGGAAGCACTTACTTAACCAAGAGAACAAACCATAAGCATAAACATTTGTACGTCCACAAAAGTGGTTCAACTATGCAGTGCATAAGGTACCAACGAATGAAAGACTTAGTGTAAGAGAAGCTGAAGCACAAACCGGAATGAAGCCGGGTGACGTAAGATCCTTCAAATATGGACCTGTTATACAAAAAGACATTATTACTTGAATAATATCATTTATAATTAAGGCCAAACCGTTTCAGTTCTTTAATAAAAGCGGACGATTCTATCTCGTATTCAAGAACACTTCTGTAAAGCGCCACGAAAGCGGCTGCCAAGGCTACTGTATCTCACGGTTGTTTCAAAAGGCCAGAAGGTGCGCTAACTGCAGCGAAAAGGAGATGCAGCATATAGGCTTTCTCAATGGTCTCTGCCGCAATGAAGCAAAATGCGCTAATTGCCACAATCCCTTTCAAGCGGGGCAGGAGTGCTGCCCAGCAGCCGTCACACGCAGAGATGGGCGGATCAAGGAACCTACCCGAAAGGAGCTCGCGAGCATCCGGCAGTACGGAGATAGAAGCTTCAAAGCGGCTGCCGCCCCGCCGCCAGCGGAGATCCCCTCCTCAATCTCTCCATAGAACACTATTATAGTGGAGGTATCTACAATAACCAGGAAAATGGAAGGGGATCAGATCAGGCAATACGAAGAGGCGACTAATGGCTCTAGCTCCTAAGTACCCCGACCTAGGAGAGCAGTCGCAACTCCAAGGAATATGAATATAGAAGAGACGGTCAATTCGGCTTTCGGGACCCCGGAAATAGAGATGAATGAGTAGACCCGGTCTACTTATTGCTTGGGCGAACAAAGGTAGAGGGGGGAGTAATCATATCACCCTTCTTCAGGCTGCCTGCAGCCAGGTCATAGATGTGGTATGTGTATAGGAGCCTGCTATATATGCGAATACGAAAACACAAAACCACTCAGCCTTCGTGTGCTACGCATTAGTAGACGAATGGGGGATTGGGGGAAGAGAGCTATACAATACTTAACGACCAAGGGTTTTAGTCTATACTAGAAAAGGATACAAACTTGTAATACAATAAAGGAGACCTGTAAATGATAGAGATCTACTTTGATTAAATGTAAATGAGGTTATTATCCTTAACGTTTATAGGCAGTTGGCAATTGATAGAGTATTGAATTATATAATAGACTTTTTCTTAGAATCAAAAACAATAATAGAAGGCGATTTTAATATCAAGAATAAATCGTTTAAGCTAGGAGTATAAAATAAAGACTGAGGTCTGATATTTATAAGCTAATCATATAGAAATAACATAGACTATATTAATATACTAGGAGAGACTATATATGATAGAATATGTTTTAGATCTTTCCTTGTTTAATATAACTTTTGTGTTTATAAAAATAAAATAAAATATATATTACAGATTGAGTTATCAGATATAGATAACAAGTATATGAAATAGAGACTAGGAATAACTAGAACAATTTATTATTAGAGTATTAGAGGAGGAACTCAGTAGGCTGGCGATGCTAGTATACAATAGAGCAGTATCTATACCTGATGCAGGGTATATTCAAACTACAATATAGATTGACGAACAAGTTCGCTTTTAACTAGCGCGATTATAGATACAATAGAAACGATAGGCAAGCCGGACCGCAAGATCGGACATTCAGCTTCTTGGTGGACGAAGGAATGCCAGAGACTGTACGCCGAGCATTTTGCGAACAGAAGTGCCTCTTCCGAAGTATGAGGAGAGACTTTTTGAAAAGCATTGTAAGAGTGCTTTTCGGGGGAGGTGGGTGTAAGCCCTACTTTTCACTTGAAAAATCTTGGCACTTTTTTAATCAAATTTTTCTTAGTCAGCAATTCCGAAAATTAAAAAATTAAAGAAATCTGCCCTTTTGCCCTTTGGAAGAGGCCTGCGTTGTGTGTCAGCACGGCGCACCTGTGCTTCGAACGAAGCAACTGAGGCCACTGGGAACTTTATACGCATTGTTCGCAAAGCGAAAAGAGACTATTGAACAGAAAGGATCGATGAGATTAAGGAGGACAAGGAGCTATATAAGATTGTGGGGTGGCATAATCTCGGAAGCAACCACAAAGCCCACCTCTGCATATAGGCGACCAAATGGTGGAAAGCGCCCCGGAAAAGGCCAAACCGCATTGAACGGAAGTGCTAGATTGCTTCAGCGCAGAGGAAACCCTTCCCCCAAACCCCTTGCACGGGTAGCACGAGTACAGAACTTTGCCATAGGATCTTACACTTTCAAAGGAAGAAATCAAGCACAATGTTATAGGTGTTTTTAGCACCTTCCCTGGTACGGATTGAATCATAATTAGGATACTAAAAGTATGCTGGAGGCATGTACCCTGTGGTGGCATAATCCGTGATTGACGAAGCGATTATTTCGTTAAGTACAATAAAAATTTAACAGTTAATATCATATTGAAAAAATTATTCTTAAAATATTAATATAATTAATCTAAGTTTTTGTATCTGATAAAGCTTATTTCAATCAATAAGGTCTTAATGAATTTTCGAAATTTCTTGATTTTCAAAAGTTTTAATTTAAAGTAAGTAAAAAACTCTATTTATATTAGAATCAGATTGTTTTCTTATTTATATAGTATATTCTATATTGAATAGTATAATAATAAAGCTTTTAATTAAAGAATACATCGAAAGTAATATAAATAGATTTCCCTTTAGACTTTCGACTAATATCTTTTCTATTCTTTAGCTTCTATACTCAGGGCCCGTTCGGATCGATTTTTTTTGAATATTAGACTAATATATTAGAAATATTAGCCTAATATCGTATTTACCGAACACAATATTGAGCTCGATAAATATTAGATTATATTAGATCTAATGTATGACTGAAATATTTCAAAGCAAACACAATATCTGAGTTAATAAAATATTGAGTCTAATAATCTTAAAATAACAAATATAACAAATTTTCTCAACCTTTCTTATACAATAAACTAATAGCAACTTTTGAAATATAATTGAATAAACATATTTGAGAAAAAGCGTTATCTTCTTCATTTTCAACTCAACCTCGCACATCCTAATATTACTCCAAATATATTAGCCTTAATCAAATATACCTAATATATATTAGCTTCAACAATTCAATTATCCTTGCCGTTTTATTATTATTAGAGATTTCATCAATTAAATAAGAAATCGATCCGAACGGACCCTTACTCTCCTACTCGCTCCTACTCCTTCTTAGCTTTTATTTATCTCTTTTATCTCTTTCTAGTTTCTATATATATATTCTTTTATTTTATCTTCATTTTTTTTTCAATACTTGAATCTTTAAGAGGCTCTTTAGAGTCTCTTATTTTCTTTATATTTATTAAAATTTAAAAATAAATGATTCTTATTTTAAATTAAAAATATTTATTAATAATATAATAAAGATTTTATTAATAACAAAGAAAAGATTAATATAAGTCGGTTACCCTACTTTCGGGCCACCCCTGTTTTGGGCCACCCTTTCACATCAAAAATCACTTTTTAGGCCTATTAATATCTCTATCAATATTCAATATAATTCTATGAAAATTTATATGTATATAATTTAGATCGATTTAAGCTTAATCTGAAATTTTTAGATTTTTAGGATTTTTCTGTATTAAGAACTAGAGCTTCAAAATATCGATTTTCAAATTTGTATGGGAATCACATATAAATTTAAAACTTTTATAAAATCTTTAATAACTTTTTAATAACAATTATTAAAAGAAAACTATATATATTTTTGAGATATTTAAACTTGAATCTATTTAGAAATTCAAAAAAAAATTCGAAAAAATTAACAGATATAGAAATATAGTATATAGTGAGTTTAGAGTAGTATAAATAATCCCTGTCATTTTGAGGGTATTCCTATAAATATTTATTTATAAGGAATTTTCTATTTTTTCTGAATCTCTTATATTAAATATATTATAAATTTATAATAAAACTTTATAGTTTATTTTTAGCAATTTTTATTAAAAAGTTATTAACGATTTTATAAAAAATTTAAATTTATATATAATTCCTATATA